AGCAAGAGCCATACCTGACATCCCATCGCATTCAGGGAATGGGGTGTAATCCAGTGTGGATGGAACATGGTGGGGGTGGGGGAGCAATGAGAGACATAGAATGGTTTTCGGGGAGAGTTCAGTCTAGACTGGGCCTTGCGGGCCTGGTAAGGGGGGTGGTGTTACAAACAAGGGTGTTAGGATCAGATGGCTTTAAGAAGGATCGCTTTGCATACAGAGAGGAGATTGTATTTGCTATGGGGAGCCTGGGGCAAGTAGGTCAGTTAGGAGACTGTTGCTGTAACCAATAGTGAAACTCTGATGGCTCAGACTAGGCAGATGTTGTAGGGGAAAGAGAGGTGGGTAGATGCCAACTATTCAAGAGTCAGAATGTACAGGACATGGTGACAGGTAGGTGGCGCCAGGGACAGAAGGGGACATTGCAAAGACACCAAGATTTGGGGCTCGAGCATCTGCTTGAATGTTCTCTGAAACTAAGAGCACTAGAAGAGCTGGTTTGAGCAGAAGACAAGATGTTTGGTTTTGAACATAAAGTGTTTGATGAGCTGGGGAACACTCAGCAAGGGAGCTCTGGGCTGGACTTGCAGTTGGGATAGAGGACCCAGGATCTTGCCTCTTGTAGCTCCAGCTCATGGGAGTGTCCTTACTCCTGTCTCTGGCCAGGTCCTAGGCCACTTCTGGAAGCCACATCCCCAATCTGGGACTCAGTCGCTCCATTCGTAATGGCAAATTAGGCTCTGACTCCCAGCCTTACCTGCCTGGGTATTGTGAAAAAATCCCATGATATTGGGGATGTGGTTCCGTAGTGTAGTGGTTAGCATGTCTGCTTTACATGCAGAAGATCTTGGGTTCGCGTCCCAGTGGAGCCACGGTCCATGGTCTGCAGCCATGCCACCCTGAACAAGCCCAATGTCTGATCTCGGAAGCTAAGCAAGGTCGGGCCTGGTTAGTATTTGGATGGGAGACTACCTGGGATGTAGGGATAAATAATAATAATAAATTAAAAAAAAAAAAGAAAAGAAAATCCTATGATATTGGGATGGGGGTGGAGAGTGGGGGTGGAGAAGGCTCTTTCCCCATTCTGTCCTGTCCTTTGCCCATCGGAGGGTGCCAGGGAACTCTTGGGGAGATGAGGGATGGCTGGGTGGGGTCCTCGGATTCCTGGAATGCTGCTGGGTCACAGGAGCTAACCTCAGGTCTATGAGACTGAGGAAGGGGCTGCCACGCTCACGCTTACCTCCCCAGCAGCCTCCCCTTCTCCCCTCCATCCCCTCTTCTGGATGGCCAGCACCCTCTGGTCCCCTTTACATTCCTTAGCACCTCCCGGGAAGCTGTCCAATTGTGTTGGTGGATCGATAACTTCCTCTCTCTATGCCCTGCCTTCCTTACCTCTGCCCCTTCCTCCCTCTCAAGCCCGCTCTCAGGTGGCTTATCTAAGGAGGCTCTGTAATAATGAGCCCACAGGGATTGCTGGGTGTGTGTGGGGGGTGGGACAATGTATTCCAGTGGTAGGAGCTGGGTCTTGGGAGCCAGTTCACGCTGCTTTCTGTCCTAGCTCAGCCTCTCCCAGCTGAATAAGCCTGAGCGCTTCACCATTTTGTAACTCAGGCCCCTTTCTATGAAAGAGGCACAAGAATAACACCTATCTCATCAGGTTATCGTAAGAATCAAGTAAGTTAAAATACATAAAGCACAAGAAAAGCGCCTTGCATATAGCAAGTGCTCGATAAACGTGACCAGTATCGTTGCTCTTACTGACGCGCCTTCTCCCAGCAGCTCTTGCAGTTCATTAAGGCCTTTCTCCTGCCTACATCAGTGACTTCCCTTTATCTGTAACAGAGGCCCCTACCTCGTGTATTGCTGCGTCGGGAATGGGCTACAGATGGGCTGAGATGGTGACCCCCTCCACTCTGCGGACAGCCCGGCTTCCCTTCCTGGTCATCTCTGGCCATTCCATTTACTCAAATCCCATGCAGAACAGTCTGAACTTCTAAGCGTGACATTCAAGGCCTTTCATAACCTAGCGCTGGCATGCTGCTCGCCACCTGCACAGCCCAGCCCTCCCTGCCTCACAAACGCCCCGGCTTCCGGCTTTCTCACACCGGGTGCCTCCGCACAGGCTGGTCCCTCTGTCTGGAGCACCCTCCCCCGCCCCTGCTCTCAGCTGGGACCTCCCTCCTCCAGCAAGCCTCTCCAGATGGCTCAGGCAGACACTCCTGTCCTCTCCTCTTTGCTCCCCACACGCTTTGCACATCCTTCGATAATCAGATCTACGAAGGCTGCTGCTCGCCCATACAGCGCCTTTGGACAAAGTAGAAAAAGGCACCCTTCCCTCCAAATGCTTTATTTCATCTGCTGGAAAACTCTTAGAATTGGTGTGCCAACCCATGACATCTACAACGTGCAGGACGTCAGTCCTGGAGGAGCCCATGCAACCCCAGAGCTGCCACTTTGGGAACATTTCCATGTACCAGGCACGGTGCTAGGTACCTTATGTCAAATATTGTTTGCAAAGCCCAGGAGGAAAACTATTCATTTAGAAGGTAAGGAAAGCAAAGGCAAAGACCAAGGTCATGTAACCAGTAGGTAGCAGAGCCCGGGGGTGAACTCCAAAGCACTATGGAGGTAATCGTCTCCATCAGGTCGTTGTTACTCAGGTGCTACTTACACAGTTGTAGTGTGAGCTCCTCGAGGCAGAGACCACTTTTCGCCCACTGCCAAAGCTCTGGAAACATGTAAAGTGGGCACAGAGTGGGCAGCACCGCATGTGTGTTGATAGGAGCCTCCTTGCAGGGCTTTGGGATGCCAGGGGCTGCTGTCTGTTCCCCTGGGTTGTGGCTGAAGATGTTTAGACCAAGGTGTCCCAGAGGCCCCCTATTCAGCTATTAATGGCTAATATTTTTTCTGGTGTCTACTTAGGGTCTGCCCTTGCTCCTTCATCAAACAGAGACACCATCTCCCAGGGTTTGATGTTCCCAGTTAGTGCCCGAATCCAGATTTTTTGAGTCCAGAGGTGTGCCCTTTGCCGAAACAGGGCAAGGTTTATGGGTTCTCCACCCGCCGAGGGTTAGGGAAGGCAGAAGAGGCCTGTCAAGGCTAATCTTAAAGGCAGGTCTAAGTTTTGCAGGAGGACCCAGAGCGAGGCGAAGGATGCTTCTGGCAAAGATATAATCAGAGGTTAGGTAAGGCTAGAGAGAGGGAGAGGGGGACAGTGGCTAACAGACATGTTCCTGGCCTAGGGGCCACAACATGCTTGTCTTTGGGTGGATGACTTAGAGTCCAGTACAGTTCTTTACTGGTATTTAATGCCAGAAACTTAATTATGCCTTGGCATGTTTCTAATTATTGCCTTTTTTTTTTTTTGCCTTTCCAGAGTTCTACTAGTAAAAAGTGGGGTGTTATAAAAACAGCCCTTTTCATGCCCAGGGTGTGTCATACAAGCTGTCAATCAGCCATTGCAATCTCCATTGCCCAAACAGGTCGATTGTCTCTCTGAAAAACAAAATAAAGAGGAGCTGATAGCAATGTCTTGGTTTCTTCACTTGGCATTCTTTTGGGAGAAGATCCTGAGGGTCAGCCTAGCCTGGGGCACGTGAACTTACTCATAGGGCACTGCGATGGCACTTAGGAGCACAGACTCTGAAGCTGCACTGTCCGGGATCAAATCTTAGTAGTCACTTTCTAGCTGTGTGACCCTGAGTGTCACTTAACTGCTTCAAGTTTCAGTTCCCTCACCCATAAAATGGTACCTAGCTCATAAGTTACTATATATAAAGCCCTTCCACGGTGGCTGGCACACAGACCATGTTAGCTATTACTTTTATTACTCATCCAGATACGTCAGTGTAGCTCTACATTGTAAAGTAGAAAAGAAAGTAACAGAAAAAGTCCCGATTCTCTGCTAGACTTAAGGGGGGTTTTATTTGGAAGTGCTATGCGTCTCGCTGTGTGAAAGGACACTAGGGACAAGGAATGGTACTTACTCATTTGAGTCAGGGTTGTCTCCTCCTTGTGGGGAAGGCAGGCCCGTGAAGTCATAACTTCAAAAGCAGGAGGTAAAATTCTGAGTTTAGCACCTCCTCACTTGGAATGATCTTCCTTCCTCGCTCTGCACAAGGAGCTGCTGCTGTGCTCTAACCCCCTGCGGTCCTTGCTTTGTTTACAGATCCGCTCCAGTTTCAATGTCTCCCCAGGAGCTCCAGGAAAAGGGCCTGTCTTGTTCACCCGTGTCCTCAAGTTACAGAGATGATGCTCAATAAACGTTACTGAATTGAATGAAAAGGAATGACTGAGATTTTCTCAAGGGAGTATGAGGGGCTGAGGTGATCCAGGTCCAGTCAATTAAGGGGTAGATGGGAGTTGTGAGCCTCTCTGGGAAGGGCAGTGGAGGAGCTTGATTGAGGCTGGGTCCCTAGCCTCAGGGTAACAACCACAGCTATTCTTGGGCATCTGTCTCATCCGCAAACACGGGGAATCTGGTTTTCAATGACTGACGTACACATTTTAAATATATTTTATTAAAAAAAAGAAAGAAATCAAACAAACAAAATGCCCAAACCAAGAACTCTTGGTTCTGGGAGTCTGGGAGCAGCTTAGGTGTGTGGCGAGAGTAGAACCTGGAAGGCAGA